AAAAATGAGATTTTTTTTATTGAAAATAAAAATTTGAAAGTTAATTTTTCTTTACCTAAAATATGAAAATAATGTAAATTAGCTGTACATACAATAAATATAAGTATACATGTTGATTGAATTACACGTGACTTTGCATCACGACGTGCAAATAAATTTTTTATCATAAAATATCGATCAAAACTAACAATAACTAATATCCATGATGCTAAATGTGATAATGTCGAAGAAAAAAACATAAGTGATCGACATATCCATAATGATGCATTACGTAAATCAGCATTATATATATTTCGATATAAATAACGTGTTGATCTCGTATAAATAAAAAGTATATCAATAACAGCAAGTACACATAAATATTGACAAATTGATTGATGACGAAAACGTTTACGTAAAAGAATTATTAAACATAAAATATTTCCAACTGTACCAAATATCATTAAACATGGATAAAAAATTCGAACAAAACTAAGACGAACAAGCTCATGCCACATATTTTAATCAATATCTAAACTAAGAATAAAAATAACGAAAAGAATATGTGTGAAGAATAATTTTATTTTTCTCTACTATTTCGCATTTCTACTAATGTTATTAATAAAAAATGTCATGTATATTCTAAAAGAAAAATATTTTGTCTATCTATTAATCATGCATTCAACTGTGAATGTAAAGAAATATTGTGATTATTAGCACCTCTGTTGAAGTGCATGTTAAAATAAATGAAAAAAATGTTCTTCTTACACTAGTCGGCGATCTTATTTCTCGTCTTTCCAGATTCTTGATTTTGTTCATAATTAGACAAGTTTCTTATGTCACTCCTTTTATGGAAGATTCTTACCTGGAAAATCAAATCTGAACATTCCTGTGATATTCTTGTAGACAGAAGCTTGTCTGACGAGCCAAGAAATATCTCAACAGGCAAGATTCTCGTGTTTTGTATTCTTGCCTAGTTCTTTTTTCTCAAGATTCTTTCCTGATTTGTTTTTTTTCCTTGCATCTAACATGTTTATTTAAAAACTAATAAATAATAAAAATAATAAAAGAAAAGTATTAAAACCATTTTATTTATATTAAAAACTCATACCTGTTACTGAAGTTCATCGTCTCCATATTGGTTGCTCAAATCGCCATCCAAAAACTAAAATCAGCTACATATTGATATAGTGATATGATTCAGTATATGTATCTTTTCTTCTTAAATATTCTGACTTACCTACTATGGAAATGTAACTCAAGTGTTGTTGAATCTAAAAATGAATACATCAGGTATAATTGTTGGTATATATATAGATACATGCCCACAAAGATATCACGTGATGTTGATCTTGAAGATCAGATAAGAATCTGGAAAGGCAAGATAGTCGACTAGTCATTGAATGTATCTATTTTCTTAGCATCCTCTGTAAAATGAAATTATTTCATATTTTGCCTGCTGATACTACCTGCAATAGATCACAGGGGTGTGGATGGGTTGGTTGCAGGTGCAACTCAATAAAGATAGTCACATCCACAAGGGCTGGACCAAATCTCCAAAAAAACAGAAATTGTTCCGTTTACAGCAGAAATTCTACTACAACAACTAGAATTCTAGTTAACTTTCAAGAACAGCAAATTTCTATCCAGCAGAAATGTATAAAACTCAAGTAAAAGTGCTTCTTCGATTCCTCCCTTGGTAAGGAGAAGTGAGAAAGACTCGAAATTATATCAATTTTAAATTCTTTCTCATTTCAAGGAGATAGCCCAGCAGAAATGGGAAATAACAAGAGTAAAACTCTTCATCCAAAGAGAAAAGCCATCTTTCTGCGAATTAGAATAGACGTAAAATACCAAATGGTTATTTATATATATATGCTTCTTTTTATCATTCTTTTATTCCCTTTCTCGTATTGAAACATTTCTCTTTAAGAGAAAAACTATTTTTCGTTAAGTTGGAATATACGTGCAGTCTCAAATAATACACTATGCGTATTTGTTTATATCTATGTTCTCTATTCTTTCGCGTCATTTCGCCTTGGTGTTTCACTTTTTGAAGTTTAAGCATTTCACTATAAAGTGGAACAATTTTCCCATCGACTGGTTCAATAGTTCATTATGGTATATTTATTGCAAATAGAATAAGAAATATTATAAAACTTAAGATTAAAACAAAAATGATATTGTTTATTTTGAATTGCATTCGAATTAACAAGGTCTTTCACAACCTAAAATACAATTGAAATTCTCATTAGAATGTTGATATTAATAATGAAAGTGAGAAAAAATTACTTACAACAACCAAAACATGCAGCTAACCAACATGGTGTCCATAAACCTCCTGATAGAAACCATAAAAAAAAATGACAACCATGTTGAACATCTTTCTTCTCCTGATGAATAACAATAACTGAAGGATTATTCGATGTATATGGTTGTATAATGATAGGTTGACATTGAATATTGTTTGGTGGAGCTGATTGTATAACAGTATGATACGTTGTTGGCATAATTAACTTATTCAAATCGGATGAATGAAAAAGATTGTAAAGTGTATGGATTCTAGTCTGTTTTATATTATCAAACGATGCCCACGTTATTTTAATAAAGAAAGAATTTTCTTTCGTTTTTCCAGTCACGTACTTGATTGGGGAAGAATGTATATAATTTAAATAATGCATTCTCGATACAGTATAGAAATGAGATAATAAAAAATGATAAATGATAAATGATATACCTAGTATTCACATTTTATTTCCATTATTTTATTTATTTAAAGGATTAAAAAGAAAAGTTTGTATTGAAGTTATTCTCGAGAATCAATCATTGTGAAAAAATTTTTATAAGAAATTTATTTTAATAGTTATACTATATGATGTTTTCTTCGATGATAATAAAGAAGATATTTATTCGAAGTAGTATAGTCATTGTTCTAACCGACTTTTACAGAATAGTTCATGATTAAAAAAATAAACAGCAATAATAACATATTATGCAAAAATAAGACCACTCATTTATTGTGTTATTTTTCTTTCAATCTTACGATGTTTACAACGCATCAACAATGCTCATTAAGATACGCAAATGTCAATAATTTGATATCTCTCTTCTCCATTTTACCATGTTTATCTTTACTTTTCATACAGGCGCTTACTACACTTCATCTTCGCGGGAACTATATTGGAGATGAAGGAGCAAAATATCCAGCTGGCGCATTACGAACCAATAAGGTAATTATCATTCCTTTTCATTTTTCTCGTATTCGTCTTGACTATTAACACAGGCGCTGGTTATGTTGAATCTTGAAAATAATGGACTTGCAGATGATGGGGCTCTACAGTTGGCTAATGTATTACGAAACAATACGGTACTCTTTATTTTTCTTCTCCATTTCTCTCATATTCATCTTCGATTTTCACATAGACACTTACTACACTCAACCTTCGTGGCAATTATATCGGAGATCATGGTGCAAAATATTTAGCTGATAGTTTACGAAACAATACAGTGATATTCATTCTCTCTTCGTCTCTGCGATATCTAACTTCATCGTTTATTTAGACACTCACAACTCTCGATCTTCGCAAAAATCAAATTGGAGACGAAGGAGCAAAGCATGTGGCTGATGTATTACGAAACAATGTAGTAATTCTCATTCTCATTCTCTTGATATTTCTATTTTATCTCTATTTTTCATCTAGACACTTTCCGTACTTGATCTCTCGTGGAATCGAATACAAAACAAAGGAGCACAACACCTCGCCGATGCATTAAAACACAATACGGTAACTCTTTTTTAGTATTATATATAATTTTTGAATAGCATACCCTACCGAACCAGGTACAAATGTGAAAAACACCGTTAAAAAATGTGTCATTTGTACATCGTTCATATATAACAATATACACTTTTCCGATATGCGTATGATTATCAGTTTCATACATTTAAGGTCTCTAACAATATCTCGACAGATAAGATTTGAGAAACGAAAAAAAATGTTTTTATAATCTACTCGAGATAAATAATGTAGAGGACAATAGTAAAAGTATGTTCTTTCTTACTATGCTTGTTAACAGTCATACTTCTTGACAAGATACGAAGCCTCACATCGACATGTTGTTATGCGACGTCATATTAACTAATAAAACATAGATCCCCTGTCAAGACAAATAAAAATTCGTGCTAACGTTTTGTAAAATACTGGCAACAGATATGTTTACATTTTGAACAGTTTCAAAAAATCTGAATTGTTCTTCCGAATCAGAATAAACAAAAATCTATTAAAATACTCAATATCGACGAATTTTTTCGAAAGAACAATGTTCAAATGCACTTTTAACTTATTTACACGAAACAAGACGTGTGCATATGACTTCCATTTCTTAAGTGCTTTTTCAATGTATCTTTTCCAAATAATAATATTATCGTTTTTTTGCAGACTCTCGTCGAAATGGACCTTATAGGCAATCAAATCGGAGACGAAGGGCTACATTATATAGATGATACAGTACCAAACAATTCGGTAATTTCCATTTTGCCTTCATTTTCTTCATTTATATTTTCAATTTTGAAACAGATACTTACCGGACGCATCATAGCGTACATTCAACGTGGGTAGAACACGAAGGGTGGAATGTGGGCAACGATTAGATACAATCAGAACACCTACAACTGTATCCGCACTCTCAAGATTTTCTGACAGTGCATCGTGCTGAACATTATGAAGTTCATTAATAAATAATAAAAATTAAGAAATGAATTTAAAATTCAGTTACAAAATTGTTCTGATTTTGGGTTCAAACCAGGTTTTTAGATGTGGGTGTCGGTAGATATGAGTGTATTCTTTTAACCAACTATACATCTACAGCCACAGCCACGCATATCCACACCCTCACAAAGAAAGAAAACAAATACGATCGTTTTGTGGTATCCCTCAAAGGTATTCTTCAGAATTAATTGCCGATCATTTTTCCCAACTTTTTTACTCTGATGAGGGGCGCGAGTGTGGGTAAAGAAACGATTAACATTCACACTCACGCCCACCCTAAATAAACTTCCTTCTGATTGAATTTCGGCTAATGCCGGATTGTTAAGAACTGAAATATATATTAACATCTAGAAATGAGCATATATGCACATAGATACAATTGTTTATTTCGTTTTTTTAACCGTTTTTTTTCTACTAAATACATATACTCATTTAAACACTCTTCTCTAAAATATAGAAATATGTAATGCAAAAATGTGCGAAAAGGTAGATACTCATACATACAGAGAATTGTTTAGAACAAAGTACACACTGCTTGATCAAATCGATAAAGAAAAAAGACAAGCAAAAAAAAAATACAGGAAGTTAATTCTCATCTTCATTACGAAGACGATCACTCGATATTGATAATAATAATAATAATAATAATGAAAATAATACATGATTGAACGTAGTAGCAACAAAAAGAAAAAGTATTAATCATGTTCACTAATTTGTGACAATGGTGCAGCGGCATTGTCGCCACCGACTTGTCGATGTCGTTGTTTTGCAGCACGTAATTTCGCAATACGTGAGTTTTCTGGCGCAAGCTGATCTATATTTTCATCATCATCAGCATCGGCTCGACGTTGTGCATGATTAGCAGCAGCAACTGAAAAGAAATATAAATTACAAAATTTCTTATTCTTGACATTAAACTTACTCTCAACCTAAAATTAAAGAAAAACAATTAAATTATAAAAATATAATAAATTTGATTCTTTCTACGTACTCTCATTTGTTCATAATTTTCTCCATCAAGCATTGGACGAATATCAATTGGTGTTTCAGGCACACTACCTGTAAGCCATGAACATTTAAGAATCCAATCAATAGTAACACGAGTAGCTGGATCAACAGTTAACATTTTTTGTATAATTGTTTTTGCTTCTTGTGAAACATTTCTCCATTCAGCTTTTGGAAATTGATATTCACCAGCTTTAATTTTAGTTTTCATTCCAGCACTAATAGCACCACCATGTGTAGAAAAAAATGGAGGATAACCACATAACAATATATACATTATCACACCCATAGACCATACATCACATGCCTTTAATTATTGAAAAATTCAAAATTTATTTTATAGAAAAATTTCATCTATTACTTTATCATATTTATCATTGGATAAAATTTCTGGAGCAACGTAATATGGAGTATAACTACAAAAGAAAAGAGAAAAGAAAAATAACTATAGTAGACTTATTTATTTAACATAAGCTAAAAACTATGGGAAGGATACATGTGTTTTTTGACCTTATTCTTAAGGACATTACAAAGAATGATTTATATGAAAAATCGAACTTTGTATGATTAAGAAATTTTATTACATGGTGGTAACACAAGCCCGAAATATGCACTATAGAAGCTATAGAATATATTTTTCTACATCATTGATATACTATGATTAATGTTGATTTTACTTTTTCGAAAGGTATTCTCTGTATCTATATATAGAATCAAAGAATAATACCAATCTGTAATTCTCCGCTCTAGAAAATTTAATCAAATTGTTCAATAGAAAAGATTGACTTACCAAGGTGTATTTAATGGTCGTTGTTCATTATTTCCTTGAATTTAAAAAGAAATTAATCTTTATAAATAAAACTTATTAGTAATTTACCTTCTTTAGCAAATCCAAAGTCAGTTAGTTTAAGTATAGCATTATCCGTTTTATCTGTGAAAAGTAAATTTTCAGGTTTAAGATCGCCTATTTAAATTATATAAATCTTAAAACTAATCATATTTAGTATAAATAAATCACTCACGATGAGCCTAAAAATTCAAAGAAAAGAATATAATAGTAGATAATAATAACAAACATGTCTTACCATATCCATATGATGTAAATGTGCTACAGCTTTAGCAATCATTAAAATTATATTCGCTGCTTCACGTTCTGTATATGGTTTATCTTCTCGTTGTCTAATACGATTAAATAATTCTCCACCTTCCATACTAATAAAATTAAATATAAAGAATTAATTCTACGGAAAAAAACAACTGTATTCAATAAACAAACCATTCCATAACAATAAGTAAACATCGATTAGATGCATACATGTTTTCCTTATATGAAAATAAATAAATTAAAACTTGGATATGAAAATATGAGTAAACATACATATATATCAAGTACTTGAACTAAATATTCACATCCCTCACAAGCTTTTTTATGTAAAATAACTTCACGTCGAGCTTTATCTGAATCCTTTAAAATCTAAAAATGAAAAGAAATTTTTATCATACAAAAGAAATTCTTTTAACTAAGATTATTATACTTTCAATGCACATTTACGTCTTGTTTCACGATGCCAACAAGTTAGAACTTTACCATTAATACCAACACCTAAGGATTCTTTTGATACTTCATATTGATCTGTAACAGCATTACGATGTGTTGGAAATGGAAATTGACGATATTTCTCCGAAATATTTGTAGGTCTAAATATATAATATGAGTTAATTATTTTCTTAACAACCTAATACTAAATAAGTCTATTTAAATATATACAATATATTCTATCTTACTTACACAGTTGCATTTTTTTCGACAAGTCCTAAACCAGATTTATCTTGTTTGACTTGTTGTGGTAATGGCTGCTGTGTTTTGGAATTAGCGCTTAAACTCGAACTAGGCGAAGTATCACGTCCTTTCTTATGTTTTCGAAAAAGATCTCGAAGACCCATTTTCAATGATTTCTATCTTCAAATATTATAGTATTAAAAATAAAGAAGATATTGTCAAGAAAGAAAAAAAAATATATTAATATGAGATTAACATAGACCAGATGGTTTTTATTCTCATTTAATATCAATGCACTGTACGATCGTAATCATAATATGTTGGATTTTGACTTCAGTATAATTAGCCAATGTATTTATATATATAAATAAAATAGACATGACGCAAATGCCTTGTCATCGTGAGCTATATAAGCTAAAATATTCATGTATGTCCTTCTCTTTTTCTTTTTTCGTTTCGGTATCGAACAATTATTGTATGGGTTGATATATTTGCGTATGCGTGCATAACGTCATCATTATTACCTGACTAATTCTATTCACTATTTGCACCTTATATAGTGCTTCGAGTATTTGTATAAATATTACATTGCTTTAGATAAAAAAAAGCTTCGTACTAAGATAAGACCTTCTTACACTGTCATATCGTTTTATTTGACTCATATCTCAAAAGTAATTTCAAAACAAGAGAGAAATGTAGTAAGATTCTTATTCTATATAATTTCTGTGTGGATTCTAATTGTCTTCAAAATGTTTCATACTGAAAAATAAAATCGGTAAGACACGAACGATTCTAAAAACAGCAGCCATTGATTTCTTCTCGCCTCCGTATTCAACAAACAAATGTCAATTTTCACCAAAACGAAAATTTCTAATCTCATTTTTATATATTTTGTTTTGTTTTGAATCATAGCAACTTACTTTTTACTTGATAATACTTTTTTTTCTGCCATTAAAATGATTGTAAACACACAAAGAAAGAGAACGTAGAGAAATCTAAAAACCAAATATATTAATGATATATATATCTATATATATATACATGCTATCAATTGATTTGATTTTCAAATCTAATATGAGATTTTATTGCATTTTTATTTCGACACTTCCTCCTTTATGATACAATAAACAGAAATTACATTACATCAACAATAACAAAAGGAAGGAAAAAACAGAACAAACATCATGACGACGAATGAATAATCAAATCAAACAAAATAGTTTCTTTTTTTCGATATTCTTATTAGTAATTAAACAAATAAATTTTTATAATGAACTAATAAAATGATTTTGAAAAATATCTTTTCAAGAAAATGTTCATATTTATAGCGCTCGTATTCGATTGGTTATTTTAAACCAATGAAAATATTTATTGTCAGCTGCTTGTATATTGGTAATCTTGTTTTATTTTATTTCGTCTAAACTAAATCTAAATCACGAGACTTTATCAGTTAATGAATCTTATTACGAATAAAACTATTTGAAAACTTATTCTTTATAGACATTTCAATTTATTTTTTTATGGCTGAGTTAGAACGTCCACGAATACGTTCGGAAAAGGTATAAAAACGAAGAAATAATGTTCATTAATTTTTAACAAATTATGCTTTCTTTTTATATTTTTCTATAGAAACAAGTAAAAGAAAGAACTACAGATGATGAAGAATCACAATTAGAAAATCGTCTACGTGATTTAAAAGAATTTTTTGAAGAAAGAAAAGTAATCTTTTTTTTTTGAATTATATTAAAACTAAAATCTTCTCTCTTTTATTAAAATTAAGAATGAAACTATTGATGATACAAATGTAAATACAGAAGAAATCTCCAATGATAATGAAGAAGACAGTAATGTACAGACAGAACAGATCAGTGAAGAACCTATTGTAAATTCAGAAATAAATACAAATGAACATCATGTTGATACAAATATTTCTGACAATGTAAATGAACTTCCCATTGAATCTAATCAAATGATGGTTACTGAAGAAACCAATACACCATCAATAGCAATCAATGATAATGAAATAACTGAAACTATAACTGTATGTATATATGATAAACTAATAGTAAAAGATGTAAACAATAGAGTTTTTTTTATTATCGTACTTTAGTTAACCCTTTACGGCAGGCTGCACAAGCCATTGAGTAAAAATGTTTTCTTCTCTGTTGGCTGTCAAAAATTAACTAATAAAAATATTCCTCCTTTTATATTTATTGTTGTTTTTGCTGTGACAGAGAACGAAGTTTCTTCAGTACTTAACAGATCGATGTTGCCATTTGGCAACATCCGGCCGTAAAGGGATAGATTGAAACTTAATCAAAATTTGTTAGTTTTAGTCAATTAGAATAAGCAATAGACTTTTTTGAAATTTTTTCTAGCCAATTGAATCAACTGAAGAGCAACATGAAATAACTACGACGAATCATACAATTGAAGAAGTATCTCCAACAACTATAACTAATTATGAAAATTCTTCTTTTATCTATCCACATTTATCATTATCATTATGGTCTCCAGCAACAGCACCATTATCATCATTTGATATTGAAATGAATGGTACACAAAATGATCCGTATTCTTTTGCAAATTTTAATCCATCTCTTCTTCAACTTGAATTACGACAAACTTATTTACCATTTATAAATATAACAGATGACTATTTTCTTAGTGAACATGAAAAATTTATTACTGATAATCCACGTTATCGTTCATCAATAACAAAAGAAGATACTGATATAACTCATACGAATGAAGATGATGATGAATTTTATTTTTTAATATCATCATTTTATGATATACGTACAAAAATTGATCATTTAACAAATGAATATGATGTTTTACAACGTAAAATAGCATCATTATTACCGCATGTATGGTCATTTTCATGTGAAAAAATCGAATCAGGTTCATATTGTGGTGATAATGTTTATTTAAAACGTTCAATACTTTATGAACAAGCTAATTTTGATCGTAATTTAGCTAAAGAAATTGAAGATACATTAAAACAATTACGTACAATAATTTATCAACAATATGTTGCATTAAAATATGAAACATTATGGTATAAAATGAAAATTGATACATATATTAATAATTTATTATTAGCAAATAAAACAACTAAAAAATTATTACATACTATTGAAGTTTTATTTAATTTTCAACGTTATCGTACACGTGATACTCTATTTTATACATATACAAGACAATTATTAAAACAAACAATTGATATTGTTTATAAATATGGAAATTATAATGAAACATTATTTATTATTAATCATGTTCTACGTTGTCCACCTGGTATACATCAATGGGCAACAAATTTTGTTCGATTTTTATTACCAACATCATTTGATATACTCTGTTCACCAATGTATATACGTTATGTTGCACATTTTCTTGCAACACTTCTATTTCCAATAAAGAATCGTGATATATTTCTTCAAAATTGGTTAGGTGAAAATGGCGAAACAATACCACAAATCTCAACATTAAATACAGTAAAAAATCAACAACAATGGATGCTTATTGATGCTGATGGACAAGAACGTGCGGCATTACTAAGATGGGATACATTAAATGAAGATGATTTAATTGCGATATTAAATCAATTTAATTTAAATTATTTAATGAACGTACTTTTTAGTTTAAATGAACAAATAAATCAAAAACAACAAAATGTATCATATGAAAATACATTACGTATATTGGCAATATTGGATTTATTTGTTGAAATACTTTGTCGAGGTTTTGATACCTATGCAGATTCACAATATAAAAATTTTCATAAACATATTGGAAAAATGATCAGGTAGATTGTTTGATTTTCATGTTAAGATTACTTAAAAATTAAGTGAATACGTTTTTTGATGAAAGAAAATGAGTAATGGTCATAAGCAGTGGTTTTGTCTAGAGGGAGGGCAGAGATGGCGGCGCCCTCACGAAAATTGCAATTTTTATGCTTATACTATATATTTGCCCTCCAGAAATTAGGTTTTCGCCCTCCCGGAAATCGCTATCGCACTCTCGAAAGGCAAAACCTTCATAAAACACTGGTCATAAGTTAAAATCTTTTCCAAGTATTCAGAAGAAATAATATCTATGCTTTATTCATAAACAATTGATGATTGTCTATGTTATATATCTTAATTCTACAATAATCAATCTTCTAATTTTTCAGGGATTGTGTTCATGTATGTCGATATCATGTTGATGGTGTACTTCAACATTTGGATAATGATGATAAAATCCGTTTAAGAGATCATTATTTTGCATATATTTATCGATCAGTAGAAAATATTATTCGCCAATGCAGGTAAATATATACATTAATTAAGAGTTTATTTTTATAATAGCAAAAAATTCTTTTTGTATTCGAATAGAAATGTTCGATGGAGTTTATTATCATTATTTGCACTTTTTGATCTTCCACAATCTTTACAATATCGTTTACTTCATTTAATTTGTTCAATACCGGATGATGAACCTGTAACGGGTAATTGAAATGAAATAATTTTATTATAAATAATTTTATTATTCTTGATATTTTAAGTTGAAACAAGTGCAGCTGTTGATCAAATGTTAAATTCGTCAACACCAAGTGAAGTTTTATCCCTTCTCAAAGTTCTTCATAATCTAGGACAAACAGGTGATGAATCTGGTCAAATATCTAATGTTATTTTTTATATCACATGTCTTCATCCTATATCACGTGAATATTCATTACGTGATGGTCGTTCAATTCTAGCACATTTTGCTTCATTACGACCAACAATTATAAGTCATCTATTAAAATTATCATCAATACATATTGATGCTGTTGGAAAAGTTTTATTTGGACTTTTTCGTTCATTACCCATGGAGATTTGGATGCCAAGTGATAATGATTTATCAATTATTGAAAAATGGCTTGATGACATATCACAAGTATCTATTGGATTTCAATTAGCACTTCATATGATTGATACAATGAATTGGCAAGATTTACCAGATAAACAACAACTTTGTATACCATATACTATACATTGTGAAGTAGCTTTAATCTTATTAAAATTACATTTAAAATATTGTGATAAATTATCTGCATCAAAAGAAGATCAATTACAAGTAAAAAAAGAAAACTTAACTCGAAATGATTTCATTATTTTGTTTTGTTTTGTTTTTGTCTAGCTTCAAAATTTTACAAAAAATACACAAATTAATCTTGATCAATGGATATGGACAGCTATTCTTCGTTTACAATTGAATCAATCTTGTCTTTCTATTGATTCATTTATTGGTAGTATGAATCAAGAACATGTTGCTATTGTAAATCAAAATCAAAGTCATTTGTCAACTGATAATGGAATGTCAGATGAAGCTATTAATGATATTCGACGTGCTATTGAACAATATCATAATCCAGTTGCTTATTACATTTCATTCGGTCTTGATCAACCAGGTGTTAGGTTAGTTGAAATTTTAATAACTGAGTCCTAATACTCATACCAAAATTGTGGAATTCGTTTTTTATATATTTAATATTTTATTTTGTTTCTATTAGTGCTGCGGGTTTCTTTGAAAAAGGAATTGAATATTTATTTCAACTTGTACAAAATAGCAAATATACTGGTGCTATTCGAGTTCTTCATGATATGTCAGGAATTTTAGTGCGTAGTGTTGATTATCTCATTGAACATGTTCAGTAAGTAACGAATAAAATTTATAGAATATTTTTATTGAAATTTGATTTATTTAGATTTATGACAACATTAAAAACATTATTAAATGCATCTGATACGTCAATGTCATTATTAAAAACCGCTTCATCTTATCTTATTCAACAAAAGACATATGATGAAACAACAAATGCAAAATTATTAACAGCTGCTATTCTTGATTTACTTATATGGCTTGAAGATAATCCTAAATCTCGACGTTTAGTATTATTACTTTGGTTTAAATTATTAACTGCATTAAAAGATTGGAATAAAGACAGGTATAGAAAAACAAAATCTAAATTTAGAAGGAAATAAATGAATTCATTTTATTTTTAGTTCAATATTATACGTTCTTGATAATCTTCTTGCACATTCATTTGTACACGATGTAATGAATAAAGAAGTTACTGATCATTTATTTGAATTAGCTGTGGTAAGTTTTCATACTAATTTCTTTAGAATAGTAATTAGATTAAAAAATACTATATTTTAGTCAGCGCTTAATCCACGACAAACTCAACCAGTAGCACGTTCAGGTGTTCTATCTTGGTTACCATTACCATCATCAGTTACATCTACTCAAACATATTGGTCATCATTATCAATTGATTCGTCACTTTTATCTCGTTATCCAATTGTTAGTTATTATTTTTTGAATGCAGAAAATTCGTTTGAAATCGATCAAAATGTTCTTGTTGAATTAAAAGCTGAACTTGAACTAAATCCAACTAGTAAAGTTGATCAAATTTGGAAGGTTTATTAAATTTTATTATTTTATTATCTTTTGAAAATAAGTTTTTTGTTTTCTTATTAGAAATTAATTCAACAACGTCATTATCCATTTATTCCTCTAACAAGTTTATCAATCTATCGTTGGGGTACAATGGCATGTGAAATGCCAGTTACTCATTCATTGTTACCACTTGTTTGGGAAAAATTTTTTACTATTTATTTATCAAAACATGAAAATTGTCTTCATCGTGTTGGTTATCGTTTATTTGAAAGTCCAGTTCAAACAACATTTCTTAAACAAATGAAACGTTCTTTATGTCAAGCAAGTGAATATTATTCATCATCAAATTTACCATATGCAAATCAATTATCAACATTCTATCATTCATTATCATTATGGATTGATGAACCACGTTTACATGATCCACAATTAAATATACTTTCATTACCACAACAATATGATAATGAACGTTTAGCACATTTATTTAATGCTGATTATCGTATATTTGATATAAAATGGCTTGAATTAGTTGATTTAAGACAAATGTATGAAACATTAATTAAATTTACAAATGAATTATGGTTAAGAAAACGAATAAATCATGAAAATAATCAAAGCGTAAATACAAATCAACATCGATCAATAATGACATCATCACAAAAACTTGTTGATCTTGTTTCTAATGTTCAACGTCCATCAATACATTCAAAAATGCCTGTATCAAATCCTGAACAAATATCTGTATCAAATCAACAAATCTTACCAAATGATCCTAATGAAATAAAAAATTTATTTGAAACAGAATTAATGAAAATTATCAATTGGTTACAAACACATTGTAAAAGACATGAAAAACAAATTGATCTTGATCAAACATTAATGAGTTTATTACCATTATTATGGAAAAATGAATTTCAAGAGGTAAAATACAAGCGAATGAATGAAAAGAAGAATCTTATTAAATTTAAATATAGAAAATTCGATTGAATATTTGATACTTTCAAAAAATGCTTTTTATTTCCTCTATAAATTTGAAATAGAAACTTCTGATAAACATCATTAACCCCAGTAATGTCAAGTCCTTTTATTAACACTTTGTATGATCGTGAATAATAGTGGCGTAACCACGCTGGGGCTTCACCCCATCACCCGGATTTTTTAGTTACTGAACTTATCATTCAAAAGACTAGACAGTTGTGGTGCTGAGTCCCATCATCCTTAAATTTCTGGTTATGCCAGTAGTGAATAAGCTCTACAAATGAATTGTTATATAATCACCTGACAGATCTAAAAATTGTTGTTCAGTCCTTTTCGAAACTTCCGCCCACCATTGTCTCTTTGTATTCCGTTTATCTTATCTTTTTATAGCAATCAATACAAGCTTCGTGTCAAAATGTTTTAAATCCTGTTCATCAATGTACACGACCTGCATATATAATTGTTCGTTATAAATCTAAACAACAATGTCAAAATTCAAATCAACGTCTTGAAACAATCTTAAATGAACATAAACAATTATTAACTGATGCATGTCGTTCATGTGATATTGATATGTGTCGTTCAATCGATTTACTTATACAAATTGTACAATATTTTACTCGACAATTATCATCACCATTTTCAAATGAAAATCAATCATTAATTATAATTGATATTGGTACACAATTATTTTATTCATTATTATTAGTTTATGATGATAAATATAATGAATATATGCAACCATTATCTGAACAACTCAGTTCATTATTTGATACACTTGGAGAAATATTTGTTAAATCAAATCTTCGTCAACCACAAATTATATTAGAATATATCGTATTAAATCGTCCAAATATATCACGTCTTATACCATATTTTAATCCAAATTCATTAATACAATCAGAAAAATTTATTGATATTTATAAGAAATTATCTAAAATGTTTACATTTGTTGAATGTCCATCATATTTATTACAAATGTTTAGAAAATTTAATGTTAAACAATGGTTTGAAAATGCATCAAATTCTAATCAACGTTTATTATTTATTGATACATTATTTAATCATTTTCGTTCATTAGTTGATAATTTTACTTTAGCTGCTAGACGTGAAACACCACCGGGCTATGATGAATTACCATTAATTGAACAAACAAATCAATTATTTGAAATATCTATTGGACATATGATACAAATACTTAATTATTCTTATCCATCACAAATTGGTTATTTATTTCGTAATCTTATTGAAAGTATACAAATAATGAGAAAGAAACAAAAAACAATTCAACAACAAAATAATTCTTTAATACCATCAGAATTTCAGCAATCAATTGAACGAGGACTTTTACCAACAAAAGTTCTTTCAGAATTTCTTGATCAACTTCATTATTTAGAAAATACATCAACAATAACACTTGGTAGACAACAAATCGATGAAATGATTAATTGGCTTCAAACTTTTGTACTTAAACAAATTGTAAGTGTTATTGGAAGATCTCTTTTCACAAGCTCCTATAGAAAAAAAAGGGATTTATTTTGTTGTACCCATTATGAGTTTTGTAGAGAAATGGGTGTGGGTGTGGGTGTGGGATATAGAAAAGCCAATGACACTCACACCCCACACCCACCCTAAAACTATTGAACTTTTTATACTCGAAGACTCTTAGAAGTTTCAGACAGTTTATTTCCACGAAAAAAAATTGAAGATAATTTTCGTGATACAAAATATTTATAAAACTAATTCTATGTAAGAAGATAAACCTTCGAAATAAAAGAGGGCAGACTGAACAAGAAAAAAAAATCACATATATAACACCAAAGATACCACCACTTAATTTTTCCCTCGTAAGAGGCATTCGAGAAATTTCATATGGTCTTCGTGCATTGTTAGAAGAATAACGATGGACCCCCAAACAGCGCACGAGGGTTAATAATCAAAACTTTCCTAGAGAGTCGATACTACGTCTCATTTGTTTTTATTATTATCATCCATACCCGTTCTGTGTAAATTATATATTGAAATATTTGTTTAGGATGAACAAAGTGATAAACGTTTAGTTCAATTATATCAATCTTGGCGACCTTGTTTAAATGAATTGACTCGTATTTATTCGATTATGTTAATTTTAAATATTCAAAAACGTCGAATACATCATGATTATAATATTTCTCAAATATTTGAACAAATTCTATTACTTTATGGTCCATTTATTGATCAGACATATTCATTATTTTCTCTAACTGAATGGAAAACAATTATTGATCATCATGGTGATATGTTAACACGTATGATAAAAACATTTTTACAATTATATGAAGAATTATATGAATACATTAATGAATCCTATCAATATCAACAAGAATTTTTTAATTGTATATTTCAATATTGGTATAAAATAGTAAAACATTTAATTACAAATGAATATACACATCCAATACTTGATATTTATCATCGATATTTACCACATTTATCATGGACAAATTATCATTTAACCATCGAATGTTTATTAATATTTGATGAATTAATTAATGCAAATAATTTAGAAAATATTCCATCAACATCATTATATGAATTTATTATTTATATTTTATCAACTATTGATATACATACATGGATGATTGAAAAAGATGAAAAACTAACTACTGCATTAGTACCAACTTATTTTTGTTTATTAATTAATATTTATTTAAGTCCACAAGCAAAATATGCTCAAGTGAGAGAAACAAAACAAAGATTTTCTTTTGTTTTAAAAATGTTCTTTTTATATTTATAGAATAATGATCATTTAAGTCGTTTAGCAAGTCAATGTGAATTAATTAATTGGAGTTATTTAGAATCTGATACATATCAAAATATTATTAATTCAATTATGTCTAAAGTTGAGCATGATTTTATTCTTGCACCAAGAGCATCAATTGATGGATATTTAAATAGGTTTGTAAAAGTTTATTCTCTTTCTCGTAGAAAAGAGTCCAGTAGAAATAATTTGTCTGTTTGTCTGCCCGCAGGGTCAAAAAAACATCGAAAGCCGATTTTCTAGAAAAGACATTCCTCGAGGTATTTCGATGCGGGAAAGTCAAATGTGCCCCTCATATGCTCAGACTATTGAAGGAGGGTGGAGTATGTATTGAGAAAAGTGACGTGGACTGATACAAACCGAGTTTTTGGGTAATGCATTTGTATGGGTATCCAAATGTTGTGTATAGGGTTACTAATACTTTATTTATTCGTTAAAAGCTAGTTCGAGAAGCCACTGGTGCTGACGGCTCAAATATGTTTTGATCTGCGTTTACCATTGTGCAGGATTTGAGTACATGCTGAAAGTCGGGAACAACAAAGGAGAGCAAGGCTTTCATTTATTTTTTCGAGTAAGTGTGAAGAGGATGTATTTATACGAGAAAGAGCTAAGCGAGTGTTACTTGTTTTGATATATTTCTCAATAGAAACTATAGACTTTCTATGAAAACTAAAGTTTTATATAAAATCATTTTTTTTTTTCATACAGAATACTTCGTTGTTCATGTGAATTTAATTCATCTTCAGTTGCAACTGATCGAGTACGTACGAAACGTTTAGCTTATCTTCGTTTAATTGAACAATGTTTAATCAATGCTAAAAATCAACATAATCAAGATGAATATCGTTTAATATTAATTAATTTACTTAATGATATTGAATCATTAACAATACAAGGAAAAGTATCTCTGAATGATGAACTTGAAGATATATTTATTGAATTAATACGTTTTCTTAATATAAGTTCATTAGGACAAACAATATTAAATTCTTATCAAAATTATTTTCTTGATTGGATTCGACAAAGTCAGAATTCTATTACAATGTTACCATTATTTGTTAGTGTATGTCGAACATTAAAAGATCGTCATAGAAAAATTCTATTCATAGAAATTATACTTTATATTTATTTTATGCATGATCAAAAATCGAATTGGTCAATTGTATTTAATTTCTTTGAACAAAATGAACAATTATTAAATATTAAAACTGATGATTACATACAATTATGTTGTGAATATAATGCATTTTTAAGTTTATATCTTTTTTCTGAATATGAATTAAATCATAATAAACAACAATTAAATAATAATGATATATTAAATAATGAATTTAAATATGTTGAAAAATTAATTGAATTATTAACAAATGGTAAATTACGTATTATACATGGAGAAGAAGAACGAGTTTTATTATTAATGATTAAAATTAATCAAATTATTATACATCAATTACAATATGGACGAAGTACTGATGTTTTATTAACACGCCTTATAAGAAATTATGCACATTGGCTTTTGGCACTTGGAACAGATAATAAAGAGTATGCTTATGCTGGAATTTTTGCTATAATTGGTATTGGAAAAAAAGCTCAATATTCTCTCAGGTAAAATTTTCTAGAATAAAACATACTGTTATCTTTAATAATATCCTTTATCTCTTCTAGGTTTCGTTTGTTTGTTAAATTACTGGGTGTCATGCAATTGGAACAACTAACAGATGAACCATATAAAATCCGTATCGATTCGAATGATCGTTGTCCAGATCCTTTATCAGCAAATAATTTAGTACTAAAACAAACTTTATCAAATTTATCATTAGCAGCAACAACCACAAATGAATACAGTGATTTTAAGAGCGAACTTATTCATTGTAACAGTGAATATCTACAACGATCGGATGTAACTTTCTTTGATGTATCTCGTTTAATTCATTATCTATGTACACATCTATTCGCTGATCTGCCTTATTTAACAAATGTATCTACTCATGACTCATAATGAATATAAGTGATTGTTCGACTTTTTTCATCCTCCTATGTGTATTTTCCTTTTTTCTCTTGTAATTATCGTTTCTCTTTTATACATACATAACGTTACAAAAAAAAATACTTCATTTTTTCTTCTTCTACTTTACTACGCATATATATATATATAAACAATCAAGAGAGGCCTTTATCAGTTAAAAAAAACAGCATTTTTTTTAGCATATCATATATACATGGCTGCCGGTGATGAAGATAAAAAATGGTTTCGCGAAGTAAATCCAAGTTTTTGGCCTGGTCAAGCATTTTCACTTGAAATCGATGAAGTTCTTCATCAGCAACGATCAAAATATCAGGATGTTCTAGTTTTTAAAAGGTAAACTAGTTTTTTCATCATAATTAATTATATATAATTGAATTTTATTTCTAGTAAAACATATGGTAATGTACTTGTTTTGGACAATTGTATTCAATGTACCGAACGAGATGAATGTGCTTATCAAGAAATGCTTGGCTTTCTACCTTTACTTGCACATCCAAATCCAAAAAAAGTAAATTATATAATAAATTTCAAACTCTTTTCATTACAAACAAATCTTTTCAAGGTCTTAATCATTGGTGGAGGTGATGGTGGTGTTCTTCGTGAAGTTGTTAAACATCCACAAGTTGAACAAGCTGTTCTTTGTGAAATTGATCAAGTATATTTTTTATAGAAATTGTATTAAAAAATATATATATGTATATATAGGATGTTATTGATGTTAGTAAAAAATATTTACCTAACATGGCACAAGGTTTTTCTAGTCCAAAAGCAGTCATTAATGTTGGCGATGGCTTTGAATATCTTAAAAATCATAGTCAAGAATTTGATGTTATTATTACAGATTCATCAGATCCAGAAGGTTATCTATCTTAAAATAAATAAATCAATAAATAACTAGAAGATTTTCTTTAGGTCCTGCTGAATCTCTCTTTCAAGAATCATTTTATTCGTTATTAAAATCTGCTCTTAAACCACCACATGGTATTATATGTTGTCAAGGTGAAAGCATTTGGCTTCATTTAAGTTTAATCAAAAAAATAATGACATTTGCTCGTGATATTTTTCCAACTGTTGCATATGCTTTTGCATCAACACCAACATATCCAAGTGGTACCATTGGTTTTCTTATTTGCAGTCTTGAGAAAGTAAACCATTACTTTTGTAATATTACAAAAACTATGTATTTATGATCTTTCTTTTTCTTTCAAGGATAAGAAATTGAATGAACCAGTTGATGAAAAAATTGCCGATCAACTTGATACACGATTTTATACAGCTGATATTCATCGTGCTGCTTTTGCATTGCCTGCCTTTGCTCGCAAAGTAATGATTTTGAAATAAGACGAATTTGATTAATTTAATTTTTCTTTTTCTTTCTAGGAACTAAGCAATACTAAATGATCAAAAATAGAAAATATTTCAAAACGATCTTCTCATTTCGTTATATCAAAACTGCAATAAATAGATTAAGATCCGAGAATTTCGAAAATAAAGAACACTGAATGATAATATATATCAATAAAAAGTTTCAAAATAATGCAATTAAACATGATGAACACGATATAGAATAGCAAATTTCATTCCAAAAAAATGATGATACCAGCAACTATTTCATCACAGATATATTATCATCTAATTGATTTGAGTTACAGTCACATCTTCCTATAGTGAATACTGATTAAACTTTTCGAAAGTGTTGAATGAAGGACCGACAATGAACTATTCACAATATTATTAGCCATATTTCTCTATAAACTTCAAGATGGCGAACTAACACGATTACTCAGTCTTTTTCATTACATTTCTATTAATTCATATCTCCTATTTTGATTATTGATTTCTTCTAAACATTTTCCTGCCCGTGTGTAATATAAAGCTGTACGGACGTTTAATTCCAGCACTTTTAATGAATTTTCAAAAATTTCAAGTCAACCACATATCAATATAAAGTCTACTTTCGAATAAATATTTTCTTGTTGATAACTGATAAAGATTGTTTAATAAACAGTCGTAAACTTGTATTGTCTACATGTCGGTTTTTTTTGTGTAAAAAAATTAAAATCAGTTCCTTGAAATATAAACAAACTGATGATAGATGATTTGTGATAAGAATTTGAATGAACAGAAAATGACTCATATGTATATATTAATCATTTTAAATGATACAGAAAAAATAAACACTTAATCTTTTTACGATCATATTCATTAATCTACTATCGTTTTTCTACGGATTCTTTTCATTAAAAGAACTGAACATTCATTTTTGATACACATCTTGTCGCATAAGTTAATGAGAAAAAGTAATCGTATTCATTGATGTGTGTATGGGAAAATTATTCTATATATTTTTTTCGTTAACAATATATTGAGTACTCATTAAGAAAATTTCTCAATTGTTTATTTTCTTTTACATTTAAATATACAAGATTTACATCAAAGATGATCAATCAATAGTGTACATGTTATCATGAGATCTAAATCAATATTATATTCATCAAAAAGAAAGTTGCTTCTTATTACAATCATATGTCTATTTGAATATTTTAATCCTTCCTTCTTTTTTTTTGTTTTGTTCTTTTGAAAGAATATGATATGTAAACATCATCACTTTTTATGTAATCAACATTGATCATCTTATTCAAACTTCATATATTTTTGTTAAGATGTATAAGTTCATTGTATATTTAATGAAGAGGAAATAGACTTTTTATTTAAAAATAAAATCATACATTCTCTTATAAAGTAGACAAGAGTATTATCAGCTTATTGAAAATCTTATTCAATATCCGGTAATAATAGTGTTAATACAAACATTATTTCATCTAATCGAGACTTAATTCAAACAATCATTTCTTTTCTTTATTAAACAAGACATATCCAACAAAACGCAAACAAGAGAGAGAGAGAGAAAAATATAAAAACAAATATAGACAACATAACTAACTGACATCACTAAAAATACAAAAAAAAATAGAATAAATTTTCTATACATGAATATATCTATATAAACATACCTGAGAAAAAAAAGCAAATGAATCTATTATCACAGTTTCATTAAATTTTCTTCATTCTATTATTTTATTTAAAGTAAACTACTGTGATTAATAGACAAAATAATAAGATTATTTGATATGTATTATTAATACCTAAAGAAATAAAAAAATTTATTGTAAAAAAATTATTTTTTATTGAAAAAAATTTACTTTTGGATGAAAGTGTTATCATTCTTAAATTTTCTGTTGAATATGATACTGTTGTGAATCGCGTATGTTTTGGACGTTTATGTCTTAATGTATTTCTATTGGTTGTTGTTGCTGGTAAACTAAGTATTTGAATACTTTTTGAATTCATTCCATATGGATTGGAAGCTATGCATGTATATTGACCTTGATAATCATTCGTGAGATACTTTATTATTATTTCTGATATAATATAATTTTTTATATGATAAACTTGATAATTTGAATTGACTCTTTTACTATCTTTCATCCAATGAATTTTTCCAAATGGACTCATTGTAACTTGACATTTAAGACGTATTTCATCATAATTTGAATTAATAAATAATAAATTTGTTATGATTTCTTCATTAATAGAAAGTATTACTTCAGGTGGATATTGAATTGTTATTTGAAATGAACGTGCAACATCAGGAGGATAACCATTACTAGCAATACATTCATAACGATGACTAGTAGAACGAGAAACATTATAAATTGTTACTTCATTTTGTTCACTAATAACTTTAACATTATCTGAATGATCATATGAAAGAATACGAACTTTCGGTGTTGGTTTACCATGTGCGTAACATTTTATTGTAAAATTTGAACCAGCAAGAATTGGAGATGGATAAGGTACTGTTGTTAAATCATCAATAATTTTTGGTGGAACTAAATTATTGAAAAAGAAAAATCAATTTAATGTTTACTTAATTATTTTTATTTATTTACCTTTAACATCTAATTGTAATGTTTTGAAACTTCCACTATTAATAAAACATCGATAAATTCCTGCATCATCTTCATCAATTTCATCAATTTGTAAATTCCATTCATCGGCATATGCATGTAATATGGATATTCTTGAATCACCATTAATTGCTCGATCTTCTACTGTTAATACTGCACTATTATTTACTTTCATCCATAAAATCTATAAGATAAATCAATTTAATGATTACATATATTCTCTTTCTATATGTGAATATAATTATTACTTTAAATGAATCCGTTCCATTATTCTTAACATCTTTTAATGAGACGTAACATGGTAATAATGCTCGTTTACCGACAACGACAGAAACAGTTTCGTTTGGTCGATCAAATTCTGATTGTGAAGCTTGAACTGTAAAAAGAACATTCATCCAATCTTATTTATCATGAGACAAGAGTATGTAATAATGATAAATGAGAAACAACAGATAAGCATATCTTGTCTATATAGATTCTTTCATCAAAAATAAAAAATTTCTATGATCAAATAATCAAGATTAAATATAGACTTCTTACTTTTTTCTTCTTCTCCTTAAAGATATTCTGTTTTCTTTTCAATCATAATATCTCTTGGCAAATAAAAAGACATTTTTATTTTATTCGATGTGTCACATACATATAAATAATCTTCTTGAGAATAGTTTACTATTAGTATGGAGCCATAATGGGTACACTTCTTTAGCGGACAAACATACTTCAGACAGAAACACTCTTCTTTTCTTTTTCTTTTTTCACATGTGTCATTTACTGACAATAGCTTATCCGATTCTTCTATCAATGAACTTTCATAAAGCTAGTTTAGTTATGTTTAACTAACAACGAACATGTCGTCAGTATCAATACAACATCTATTTCCGTTTTTATAATATGTATGTGTTAATCTGCTAGTCACGTTAAGGTGATAAAATCATGCACATTTCTTTTTCTTGAGTTAACCACAAATTTACTCTCATGTTTATTAATGCCTTGGGATGCTTGTTTGAAATTCGAGACGTATCTGCTATATTCCGCTTCTTTTAACTGAAGCGATAGAAGTAGAAAAAAAATAATTCACTATTAATCGGACAGAACTTTTCGATTGATCAATATGCATATATCACATGCTTGAAAAAGCTCATTGACTTTATATATTGAACAATCATCTGTTTCTTTTGAATAAATTTTTTTTATAACATACCTAAATCTGATTCGACAGCTGTAGTTGAAGTGATTGAAATGATTACTAGTAGAAACAGTAGCATTGCAAATACGGATATTGTTCGTTGTTGTTTTTTTTTGATGTAAATACGATTTATATACAGTTCGTGATTCTATTTAATTATATCAAAAATGTGTTCATGCTTCGTTAAGAGATGTAAGAGCTAAAATGTGGTTCTTCTCTTTATATGTATATGGGTGAGACGATAGATGAGCGAAACGATGCAAAAGAAAAAAAAAGGGAGAGAGAGAGATGGGGAAGAGAGACAGAGAAGAGAAAAAAATCGATGAACAGTCGCTCTTTCTTTTGCTTCGTTCGTTCTAAAGTAGACGACTGAAAAATGAGCAGCTGATAATGATGATGATCTGTCTACATCAGAGACGAACGGTAGTTTCTTTGTATCTGTTCAAACACATTTACAAATGAATTATGAAGATACAAAAAAAAAAAGAACGAGCAACGTGTTACTTTATTCACTAAACAATTAAAGTGGAAAAAATGAGTTAATCACTTCTCTCGAGAATACTAATAAGTGTCATCAATGTCATAAACATGAAGTATGTGTTAATATAATCATCAATGAACCGTATCATGTTGAATAAATATTTCTTTAAACTGGTGGTTAAAATAGCGTCAAAATATTCATTTTTAATGTATGAAATGAATGTGAGAGAAAGATTTTGAAAGTGTATTTCTTCCTTATGTATATATATATATATTATATCGGTTGAATGGCCTTAAAAAAGAATCTAATCGCATATATATGATCTTTCCATATTCATGGGATCAATTGCATAAGTTCATAAGACTATGATGAAATTGTATATTAGAATAGAGATGAATTTTGAAATTACTCATTGTTGAATTTATATTAGTAAAATATATGAAGAGTATTTGGTTGAAAATGTGATCATCTTACACAAGTGATTAACTTTAGGTGGCAAATATGTGAATAAAATGAGATAGATCTAGTCACATGTGAGAGCTTATATTACACTTACTATCTAGACAGCGTAACACACACATCTTCATATGACTATTGGATAGTGATGATAGAGAAATTAAAGTGAAATTATATCTAACACATATATATGAAATGAGCATAAAATCTGTAATAGATTGATACAGATACGTTATAAAACAATCAAACAAACGGCTTATAGAATTGCAAAAGAAGATTGATTCATAATTGCATTTGATATATAACATAGATTTAAAGATAAGATTTATATTAAATAAGAAAATGTTCCAGACATTTTTTTATAATCAACAATCTCAAAACTGCAGATATATTCACGCTTTAATTAATGATATCAATGTTAAACATTACTACTCAATTATGGATATAGTAATACTAATATGTAACAATGCATTACATCATATTTTTCTGTGTCTAATGAAAATTCAGTGTTGTCTATAGAGAAAAGATGTGAGTAATTATTTCAAGTCCTTTTTATATTTATATTTAGCTAATATATTGAATAAATTCAATTCTATGATTATTGTTTATTTTCGATAATGTTTCAAAGTAATTCATTATAATTACTATCGATTATTAAAACTATTGAACAACAATATCTGTTTCTGTATGTGATTCATTATAATTGATAATCAGTAGATGCGAAATAATATATACAGTTAATTAAAAAACAATTTTGTAGTACAAAATTATATTGTTCACATCATAATTGCAAAACAAAAAGTTGATTGACTATTCCATCATATTTTTATTATTTAATAATGAAATTTTTCTAAAATTCTGTTATCTATCATTTACAAAATAATAATAGTTTTCTCAAAAAAAAGATAGCTTTGATATTAATTAAGTATAAACTTGAGAGAGTATATCAAATTATACTATTATATAATCATACTTAGTTTCATTTGTCATTGCTTCATAGAAAAATATATAATCAGATATAACTATTCAAGATAGCAACCGACTTATAATGACTATTCTTGTCGAAATAATGGTTTTATTTCAGAATAAAATGTAGATATAATTTCAATCGATTAGCTAAAATGTGATACACCACCCATCACCAATTTTTTTTTTATTATAAAAGGAAAAAAAAGTGCCAAACACCACAAAGGAAAAAAATATATAGGAATGACTAGAGGTCTTGTAAAAGCTTTATTGAGAAAATCATTTATTATTTTCTTTTGTTCCCGAAGCACATTGATCCATAAATTGAGCCATTTGTGAATCATAGGTCGAAAGACCATTAAGATCATGTGTACTCAATGTAACTTGAACTTTATTATAGACATTAAACCATTCCGGATGATGGTCAAGTTTTTCTGCTAATAAAGCTACACGTGTCATAAATCCAAAAGCTTGATTAAAATCTTTAAATAAAAATGTTTTTGATAAAGCATCACGATCATCAACTAATTTCCATCCACTTGTATCTAATTGTTTCAATGTATCATTACGTTGATCACCTTCAAGTTTAGCTCGCATTTTCTTTTTTGTTAGATTTGTCGTTAAAGCACTTGAATGTTTGTTTAATCTAGAAGATTTTAATGGATGGAATAATTTTAAAAGTCGTAGATAATCACGATTAATAAAAAGAGACATGAGTTTTTTTTCTCTTCGATGTCTAAAAAACAAATAAACAACAAACAAACTTATCTGACACTAAGAATATCTATATGTGTATGTATATATCTGATTTTATACAAAAAAGAACAAATAATAACTAAAGTCTATTTTTTTCATTCATTAACGTTGAAGTACAGCTTTAATAAAATCTTCATAAACGACCATTCCTTGTTTATCTTCAAATTCATAGATCAATTGTTCAACTTCATCATCTGTTAATCGTTCACCTAAATACGAAAAAAAACAAAAATTAATTTTTTTTATTGTTATTTATAATACCTAATGTTGTTAATAAATGACGTAATTCTGTTGCTGGTATTAAACCATTACCATCTTTATCAAAAACACGTAAACCATCAACAAATTCATCTACAGGTGCAACACATTCTTTTTGTCGACATAAACGTTCGAATATAACTTGAAATTGTTGCATAGATAAACGTTCTACTCGATTAAGATCAGTAAGAAGTAAACGAATTTCTGCTTCTGTTGGATTAAGTCCTAATGCTCGAACAGCTTCACCTAAATAATGTTTTGGTATATGTTCATCTCCACGATCATCATATAAACTAAAGACTAATAATAAAAATAATAATATGAATATATTATATATTGATCAAGAAAATATTACCATCACGAATATCAGCTAGAATTTCATCAGTAAGACCTGGCATAATAGAAATAAACTGAACGATTTTTTTATATTCGATAAAAGGTTAGTAAAATATCAGAAGCAAAGTAAAGAATGACCCCTCGACTTGTGTGATTTGACTGATTATTATTCTTGAATAAATATTTGCGCAGCTGTCGCACAGCGAATAACAAACAATAATCAATGGATGTCACTGATGAACAGTGTTCAAACAGGATTTTTTTTTAAACTGATGACAGAAATCAAATAGCAAGAGAAAAACATGTTTGACATTTTTCTGTAATGTATTGTTCTAATCATTAATATTTAAAACGCTTGTTACATCTGTCATAATTTAAAATTTTTTTTTTCTATCGGAAATAAATGACTGTCTTTCATGTTCTTATTTATGAATATTCATGGTAAGATAAAATATTCTAGCAGAAATATACAATGATGATTTTTCTTTTCTTTGTCGTGAATAACTCTATTTTGAAAGCATGTCTTCTTTCATCTATTGTACTATTAAGAGAAATTTAGTCGCAATTATATATATTATATTTATCTTCTTTCAGTATATGTTGTTCGATTAAGATATGATAGATCATCTATATGAATACCTTTTTATCAAAAATAATTTCATGAGTATATTTACTTAGTTTGATCGATAATAAATGTAATAAAAATACGTTATATTTAGTACTAAGTAGTTAATTTGTGTCTTTATACACTTAAGACGCATGAGAGTGATAAAAAAACAAAGAGAACTTATAGTATAAAGATTCGTAAAACTAAAACAGATTTATTATCTTATAAAGTATATTGATACTCAAAGAGTTTTTCAATATGTTACAAATGACTATGTATTCAATCAAGAAAGAAAAGTATGATTACATCAATACATCTTTTTTGATCTAAACTTTACATTTCTTATTTTTGTAGGTTTTTGTACATCCATTTATTTGAGGACATTCTTCCACCGTCTTTTCACCTAATTGATCACTTTCATATTTAGCAACTTGTACTATATTCTTAGTAAAAATACGTCAAATCTTGTAAAAAAAAAAGATAGTGTTATTTTCATTTGAAAAACGTTAGATATTTATATTTAATTAAAGATAAAGACAACAACGAAAGAATAAATCGAGAAACTTCTTTTCTTTTGTTTCTCAAATAATGAACGATAAGAAATTTAAAAAAAAATGATTCTTGTTATTGAAAACAAAATATAGGTCACAATAAGTAGGTTAGAAGAGCAATTAACATTTGTAGAGCAGTCGAAGAGAAAGAGAAGAAGAGCAAAAATGATTCACTCTATAGCTGTTTCAATTTTTTACTGACTTTCTAATATAACACAAAGTTAGAAATTTATTTTTATTAATTTTGAAATTTATTTATCGTTCTTATCAATTAATAAATAGAGGTTTCAGTAATTTACTGCTTATTCATTGAAATCACTTATTTTATAATTATTTTGTCTAATGACCATTTCATTTATTTTACTGTCCTTAAATTATATTCTCATTATTTATCTTTAAATTATATCGCTGTTGTGTTGATATATAAACCAGTCAATATTGTTAGAGTTAGATATTTATTATATCGTCTTCAATAGCTAGAGCAAATTGATGAATTTTTTTCAGGTGTTTCGTTAGTTAATTAATTGTGTATAAACTTATAAATAACATTAAATTATTCCTCGTTCCTTAATAGAATATTACAAATAATTTTTCTTATTTTTCTTATCTCGCACATACATACAAACGGCGTTAACTCAATTCTGCGTATAAAACTCCTGTCAGTAGAAAGAATTAGTATTGTCTTAAATATTCTATACAACGACATATTCTATAGAATAGGAAACGTTATCATCATTCGTCTGTGATAAATGTTGTTTCAATAATGATTATTATTTCAAAAATAAGTAGAAAAAAACAAGTAATACGATTTAGTGGAAAATCTTGATATAGAATCTATAAAAGGTTATCATTTAAAGAAATTTGCAATTGCGCATTTATTTTTATTTAAGGTTATGTGAGAATACGTAAGAAAAACGGATGATATAAATATTAAAAGTATAATTGTTATTATATATTTTTCATCAGATTCATTTGTTGTAAAACAAAATCTATCTATATATATATTATTTGAAATAATATTCATTGAATAGTAATAAAAATCTTATCATGAATAGATAAAAAGAAAATTTAATATAAGATATTAATCAAATTAAAAACAATTTAATAATTACTTAAAATCACCTAAAAAAGACAAAAAGAAAGGATTCTTTTCTTTAATGTGAATTAAAATAATTTCACAAATTTATTGCATGGACATTTTTAACAACAAAAAATATTCAGAATAAACAAGTCAAAACAAAAAAAAAAAGACGTAAAATATATACATAGAAATTATACATGACATGTTGTGTCAGAATGTGATTGTTTATTTGAACTAAGAGAAGTATTTACTGAAATATTAAGTTCATTATTTGTATAATCATCTTCTGTATTTGATAACATTTCAATTTGTTTTTCAAATCCTACTAAACGTTGATGATTGGATTTCTTTTTTGTATGTAACATTTTTTGTTTATTCTCTAATAATGATGTACGATAATATACTCGATGATCATATTTACTATTTGCTGTTGTTGTTGTTGTTAATGTTTGAACAAATTTTTTTTTCCATTCTTTATTTTTTGAATTTATTTGCGATGGACTATAAAAATTATATAATTGCGTATAATAACTATTTGTTGTATTTGCTGCTAATTGTTGTTGTTGATGATGAATATTATTCGATGTATTTGATACAATAAATGATCCACGATCAAGTGCTACCATACGTGAATGTAATTTCGAATTTATTTTATAATTTGAACATTGACGCCAAATAATTTGTTGACATGTTCGAGCAAATTTTTCTGATAAAAAACAATATAGAATAAAATCAATTGATGCATTTATACAAAGAAATAAATTGGCAAAATTATTAAATATAAGTAGAATATTTCGATTTTTAGGTGACATTTCTGAATAACTTTCAATTAATGTTTCATATGTTAATGATAAACTTTGTGGTGTCCATAATAATAATGCAACAAATAAACAAAATATTAATACAATTGTTACTTTACGTTTTCGTATATATGAACGACTATGACGACGTAAATCAAATGTATATGGATTCTTCATTGTTATATTTGATGAACATGAAACTGATGATTTTGAATAATTATTTGAACAATAGGCAGATTTAGATATTATTGATGATGACGATGATGTTATAGGATTTGTTTCGTCGGCTGGTTTGGGTTGTACATCAACATCAAAACGACGAGAACGATGAACATACCTATTTTCATTTAAAGAAAAAAAAAGAAGATTTTTATTATTGAACAAGTTCTTTTTTAAAAGTTCTTATGCTTAGGTTAAAAACAAAAGTAGTTTGATGACGTGATGTTTTTTTTCTTAATAAGTTGTTCTTAGATAAATATTAAGAATAAAATGACGTACATAGAAGTATTATATAACATTTTCTCTTATTTCACGAAATACACCTGGAGAAAATTTAGGTATTATATATTTCTATAACTCTCGGATATTATTTTCGATATACCCTTATATTTACTTAAAATATTTATTAAAATGATTATTTCCTTAGGATATATATTGTTTCTACAAGTACACTATAGGATTAAATATAATTTAATTCCTTCTTTAATATGCTGATAAATTTTTTATTTAAGTAAAGACCTTGCAATGTCATTACCTTTTTTTTATAAACTCATGGTTTTTATTAATAAATATGTAGATTACAAAGTATATTAAACTATCTTTGATGTTAAACTTTGTTCATGTAGTCTCTTATTATAATGTCAAGATCATAAGATTTTACTTTGTACTAATGTTCAATAATTAACATCTGTCTGATAAGTACAAAAACTCGTCTTTTAAATATTCTTAAAATAGAATTCTTTGAACTAACAGTTAAATTTAAACATATTAATGAATTAATATTTTTATTATTATTCTTATTTAGAAGAAAAACATGATAAGATTAAGGACAAGTTTGTTGTTAGAGGTATATTCTTAAGAAATGTCCTTGCATGCATATCATTATCACTAGAAATGTCCAGAACGCGATATACTTAAACACACACACTCTCTCTCCTCCTCCTCTCAACAGAATATACTGAAGTAACTTCCTGTTCTTGATATTTCTGTTTATATTTGCACTTTTAAGAAGAGTAGTTATAGAATAGTTTGTTAAATATATTTAAAAAAGTTTATATTATTCTTTTTAACTTACCATATAAGAATTGAATTACATACACAAAGTAAAATCAAAGGTATCCATATAATAACAATACAAATAAATATTAAATATAAACGGTGAAATGTTTGAAGATATTCTTTTTGTTTTGCTAAATTAATTCTTTCTGTTGCATTAAATGAATTATTCTTATTTTCAATATTATTCACATCACGTGTAAATTTTCTTTCAAAATATGTTGGTAATGTTATTAAAAAACATATAATTAGTAATGTACAGATTAAATGACGTGATCGTCGTACTGAACATGTACGTTTAGCATAAATTGGTCTTGCAACAGCTAATGTACGTTCAAGTGTAAAACAAACAATTAACCATGTTGCTGTATTTGAACTAAAATCAGCTAAAGGACGTAGAAAATATAATAATGTTTGCGTAAATGGATTGTTCGAAAAAGTTGAATGTGATCCAAAATTTAATATAAGTGTAAATACTAAATAACATGAATCAAATACAGCTAATACTGTTAAATAATTATTTGTACTTGTTCGTATAAGACGACGTCGTGTTAAAACAAGTATTGATAAAAAATTACCAATTAAACCAAATAAAACAAGTAATGGCCAGATATAAAATTTCACAATAAGACGAACATTTAATAAAATGAAAAAAATATTATCTGCTGAAGAATCATTTTGATTTGTAGAATTAAGATACATTATTTTTTTAGATGAAAAGATCTATCTAGAATAGAAGAATATTGATTTTTTATTAGTGATTATCTTCTCCTACTTCTCTTCATGATTATAAATTATATTCAAATATATATACGTTGATTCCTATTCTTAGTAGATGTAATTAATCATATGATAGTTTGTCTATGAAACAGAACTATTTATTGACATTGATTTCTAATACATGATCTTTGTAACATACCAATTAAAATATATTCTTACATATTTATGTCAACCATTAAAAAAGTACGACTGTTACTGTTTATCTAATCGGATTTATATGCTAGTTGATCGGGTCATTGCGCTATACATAATTAAATTTTTTTCTACTGGCGAAATGAAACTAAAGAGGAAAGGAAGAAACGTAGCATGTTTTCTCATTTAATGAAATAGGATTTCTAGATGTTCTTGCTTTTATATCAAAATCAAAGATCTTTTCTCAAAGTACATACTATTTTATCCAGATCGATATATATAGAGGGAGAGACTAACAAACTCAACTTCATACGATTGATTATTCTACCATGTATCCATGAAATGAAAGAGGAATATTTACATATTTGTTTAACTAATTATTCGCACAAGGAAAATCTATGTCGTTCATGACAGGATGTATTTTTTTGTAAAAATTTATGCTTAAATAATCTTGCCTAAAGCAATACTTAGTTTTAAAGAAAAGATCCATGAAATTACAAAAAATATGAACAAAATAGACAACAATAATATATATATATTTACCTATATAATAATTTTACAAACATTTAAGAGCTACAATTATGCTTAGTTTGACATATCTATACAAAATATACCATTATTACCTGTTTTCCTACTCATTAACAATTATTTTATACATGTAAATCACTGAAGCAAATCATATTGTGTAATAGAAATAAGATTAATAAAAATGTTGAATAAGAGAAAGAAAAGTATGCGCATAATGATATATATGTTTATTACCTGGTATGTTAAATCTTTCGCCGTATAAAAGTTTTATATTACTATATTGCGTGTTTAAAGTTTCGACAAAAATATATAGAATTACACTTTTCACATACCTGTCACATGCATTTGTGATATGATATAGTTGATATTACTCGTTCGTTTTATCTACTTAGATTCTATTACAACAAAACATATCCGACACATATAAATGTGAGTCACAGATCATGATTATGTACCTGGGACTAGTTCAAACCATATAGTTTTTATTTGTAAGGAAACATCTAAATCCTTCGATTATATTTAAATTTATTATTTCAATAGAAAAGACCTACTTGAAATATAAAGCTTTACAAACAATAATAACAACATTCTAATATAGAGCATTTGTTTTAACTTACAAAGGGAAATGAGTATACAAGAAAAAAAATTAATTCTTATAATATACACAGATTTACTCTTCATTCAAGAGCATTGGTAGGAAGTATATTTATTACTTATTCTAATTATATTCAAGTTCAGTACAAATTTTCTTCTAATAATATTTTTCTATTGCTAAATTTCAAGGAACATATTCGAACTAGAACTCTATTAATCTCTTGAATTATTAATAACTCGTAGAACTTTATAATGAGACTATTACAAAACAGGTTCGTACTCATTATCTCTTCCATAGTCTTTATAGGTAATTTATAATTTTTCATGATAAGATATTCATGTTGAATGTACGTGTCTTTCAATTGGCATGCAGAAAGGTTTTTCTAGTCCAAATACAGAATATTTTTTACATGACGCATCATGAACACTACAACTACGGATGAGTTGATATGAAATCAATTATTTATAAGATATTCATGCGTCATCAAAAATAGTAATATAACTCCTCCGTACTATTGAATAATTGATTTCTGTCAGCAAAAAAAAAGCATCAGTATAAACATAGTTTTGTTTTACTGAAAAATATCCTACTTTTCTACAGATTCTCTATAAAATAATATCATCTAGGTAAATAAAAGTATTCATGTATCAATTACATAAAAATTCTCAGCTTATCAAGGTAAAAATCGAGCAATAAGATTTATTTTGTTACTGATTGTCATTCTCTTCACTAATTCTAATAATTTTCTGTATCAAGTACAATATCTTCAATATTAAAAATAGATTCTATGATAAAATCAACTATTGTCTCTCAATCAATATGTCACTTGATTATAGAAGCAGACATTGAATTAGATATGTTTAGATTTTGTTAGAAAATCTCAAGACACGAAGTATTCCCTATAGATTTACAGAATATTTTTAACTATAAGCTCCTTCGTGTCGATATATGTTTTCTATAGTTTATTATTGTCTGTAAATCTAATGAAATATTTCATTATCTAACTACCTAATATAATAATAAGATATGTTCACTTGTAAGAATCGACAGTATATTTATTAATATTTACTTCAATAATAAAACATTATCATCACGTTCGAAGTTCATATCGTTGTAATAATAGTTGAAGAAATTTCACCGAATAAATCTCTTTATTTCTTCTATAATTTCTATTTTAAAATGTATTTATTTGCTAAAGTGAAAGTCTTTTTTGTTTCTCTATTCAAACATATTCTGTCCTCGGGATATTGGGCAAACTTAAATAATAAAAAAAGGCATCTACTCTAGTTCACTTTCCTCTTTATTCTATATACTTTGTGTTAACTTTCTCGAAGGATTCCGGAAAAAGGTACTTCTTCGTTCTTTATTTAACATCGATGTATTTTATTTCAAATACTTGATCTTATGTCATTCGAAAATCTTAATAAATACTTACTTTAAAAAAGAATTTCCAATAGTTACATGCTCAACGGTAGATTTACCTAAGTATGACTACATGAACATTTTATCCTAGAGATTAAACTGAAAGTACGATAAAAGACATGTATGCGTATAAGAGAAGAATGCTCAAAATACTTTTTTTTCTGTTCAACTCACCCACAAATGATGTGATGAAGTATCAAAAAAACATTTTTTTCTACTGTTAATTGAAAATACGACTCGATTTTATGAAGAATAAAATTTAAACGGAAGTGTTCACTTTATTAGAATGATTATAATTGTATACAAAAAAAAAACTTATTTTATTATAAAACAAACTATCGATCGTTATGCTTATATTGAATTCAACAAAACGGAAACTATCAATAAAACTATTCTTCAATATTATAAACTTAGAAAAACTACACTATACATTATTTATATATTACTATAGATCCTGGATAGACAACTCATCAGTGGTTTTGCTAAACATATGATTTAATGATGTTAAAAAGAAGAAAAATATCAGTTATAGATGAACAGTGCATGTAGTTATTATAATTATTAGCTAGAGTTTAATATCTCATATAATAAAGAATGGAATGTGTAGGATATAATTCATTTTTTCGGCTTTACTAATTAATCAGAAGAAAAATGAATTCTTCCTTTAATTATCAATATCAACATGTATATTCCGTCTTATATTATGCTAAATGAACTTCCCATCTTAACCACGCGTTTCTTTTTCTAAGTTATGCAAATATGAACTATATTTTTGAGTGGTATGAATTAATCATATTACTATTATAGATACTATAAATGATCACTTAAGTTTTTTTTTCCATCTAATGGAAAATCAATAATATTATAGAGAATAAATAAAATACGTAGAAAGCTTTTATATGATTCTCTACAATGAATCATATTAATTTCCATCGAAAACAATAGTTTTGCTTTTATACTTGAAATAAAATCGATATGATTTATCACGGAAAGAGAAGAACAATTATCATATAGTTCTACGTTTTTATTTAATAAACTCCAATGTTCGAATCTTATGTTAATCTATATTACTGAATTCAAGCGTATTAAATGAGACAAATAATTAATACAACAAATGAACGATTATTACCTTATTTCGTTTATCTATGTGAGAATGTGATATAGCAAATATTTTTATGATTAATATACTTATTTGTATTTGTAGATGAGTAGATCAAACGTAAACACTTGATTTTTACTTCAAATATTCATATAATAATATGTTAAACTATGAATAACCTCTATTAAAAATCATGGTTATATACTATTCTTAGATTTTCTAATTACTTTTCGATTCCGCCTTTGATATACTCTTTCATCTGAAGAGAAAAAAACCGATTTAACTCAACATATATAAAATAGGATGTTTGCAACATTATAATTCTATTGTATCCATTATTGATAACTTTAAGATAAAAATGAGACTTTTTTTCAATCTTGAGTATTATCAAGTAACATTCTAATTTCTATAATCACGTCATTTTTTATCATTTTATGCACTTAATTTATGGAAATCTATTGTTACTGAATAATATCTGCATATTAATAGATTCTTTTTGAAAAAAATCGTTTTGTAGCCTACTCAACATTTTAATTACTTATAGAATAATTGAGAGAAGTTTATTTTCAGACATGACATCCTCATGCTTCTCTCATGAGAATAATTAAGTGCAAAGAAAGATATGATAAATTTTATCTTCAATAAGAAGTACTTACTGAAGTAAACTTATATATTAACAGCTCAATTAAAACTATTATATTGTCAAAGAATTACAATCCTATTTAACTGAGGTTAGATACTTAAAAAATTTTGTAATTTTTACAAAATAAATTTAAAATTTTACATACTTCGTCACAATTGCACTTGAACAAAGAAATATAGAATTAAATCATCTACTCACGTTGTGATACAGTAGTTAACAGCTATAGGAATTCAATAAACTATTGTTTATGTCAAAATAGAGCATATTTCACTATCTTTTGAGTTGCATGAGAACCTAAACAGCTAGAGACCTGCAATTTCCATCAATCGGAAGAGGAGACAGGAGGGAAACGTCTTACTTTATAATATTACATATGGTAAAATCGTTGTAAAAATTAGTCATTTCTACAAAAAATGGTCTATTATTTTAATGAAAAGTAAGAAAATTTGCTCCACATTTGAATATAGGAAAATACTTAATCGAGTTGCAGAGATGACTAGTTT